ATTTTTCCCAAATTTATATTGGCAAGCCTCACGATGCCATTAAATTTCACTTAGCCTTGTCTCACAAAAGGTTTTGTTGTCACAGGTGGACTTTAGCTTCGTCAACGCCTGGGCCTGATCAGTGCCCCCAACGGGAATCGAACCCAGGTATTGAGGTGTACATTTTCGACATGTTGCCTATAACATCTAGTATAAAAATAAATAAACAGACTAAATCGTTAAGTGCTTATACAGTGGCATCATTTATCAATTTCGCTTTTTTGGTCTATTATCATTATTTTCATATTTTCGACATTGACCTAGGTGTCATTATATACTTGCTCTTCAACACAAGTTCCCAGTAAGCCATTTCCTAGTCACATCTTTGCTTTAGCTTTTCTGCATACTTATTTTGCCACAAACTAATTCCATCATTATTAAATAGCTTCGGATACGTTTTTGTATTCTATATTTTTTTCTGAGAATTTTAATCTAATCCACCTATTGTTTATGTGTTGCAATATTTATTAAATTTTCAAGTATATAATCTTTTTCCTGATTCATTTTTTTCTGTTCTCATACCTTCTAGTTACTAATAATATTAAAATATTTTAATGTAATATTACATGCGTCACACAACCTATAATCATTGATAAAGCAGCACAATAACCCTAGAGAGCTTGTTTGTTATATAATTAATTCTTCATTGCTAATTGGAACTATTAATAGTGTTTTTACTTTATTATACTTGTTACTCTCATTCTCTTTCTTTTAAATTAGAGTAACTATCTTTTTTAATATTGTTATTTTTAGGCGTCGAGTTGTACTTACCGGTTATCCTCTTCAAAACAACTTGATGGAGTACTGGTGTATGGTGGACTTTGTGCGCCCAAACTACCTGGGCACCAAGCAGGAGTTCACAAACATGTTTCAAAGGCCCATTGAGAATGGACAATGTATCGACAGCACTCGAGATGATCGAAAAATTATGCAGGGTAGAGCTCATGTCCTACATGACTTACTTTCTGGATTCGTACAACGTCGATCGCATGCTGTACTTAAGGCTAGTCTGCCTCCAAAAACGGAAATCGTATTGCTCGTCCGCCTAACCCCATTACAGCGCCGTCTCTATTCAGCATTCATGGCCAGTTTAGGTGCTTCCGGACCGCTTGGTTGGGCCCAAGTAAATACGCTCAAAACTTATGCAATGTGCTGCAAGGTAATGTTGTATAATACATATCCTAAATCCAACCCTTTGTACCTGAGAACCCCTTCCTTTACGTTTTTATCATTAATTATGATCTCTACTGTTTGACAGTAATTTGGAATGATAGAATATCCTCTTGAAATTACTTTACCTTTATGCATCCTAATTAATTTCGATTTTTCAAAATTAGACTTTAAAATATTTGTTTTATTTTAATCAGGTCTCCTAATTTACTCTCAAAATATTTATGCACAATTTAGTATTATTCTTGCACCCAAATTACGCCTAAGGTTCTTTGTTAAAATCTATGTTGTTTTCTGTTTGATAACAAAAACTTTCTTAGAAATCCTCTAATCTTTGACTTAATCATCCATCTTCAAGCAAAAGAGCTTTGTTCAGTATACGTAGTAAGGAGGACATTCATTTCACATGAAAGGGAATGAAGAAGAGATTCGTTGGTCGATCTCACCAGATGAGGACGGATAAATCTCGTTGTAA